TACCACTTTATGCTATTCTGATTACTGTAGATTTGAAATATGTTTTGAAATCAGGGAGTGTGAGGCTTCCAACTCTGTTCTTTTATCTCAAGATAATTTTGGCAATTCGTGGTCCCTTGAGATTTGATATGAATTTTAGGATGGTTTCTTCTACTTCTGCAAAAAATGCTATTGGAATTTTGATAGGACCTGTGTTTAATTGATAGATCTCTCTGGATTGTATGACTATTTTAACAATCTTAAGTCTTTTGATCACGAACACTGGATGTCTTTCCATTTCTTTGTGTCTTTAATTTCTTTCAATAATGTTTTATAGTTTTCAGTGTATAGGTCTTTGGCTTTCTTGGTTAAGTTTATGCCTAAGTATTTCATTCTTTTTGATAATTTACAATGAAATTGTTTTCTTAATTTCTTTCTGGAATTGTTCATTGTTAGCATATAGAGACATAACTGATTTCCGTGTGTTGATTTTTATCTTGCAAATTTTGCTATGTTTATTAGTTCTTAGTTCTAACAGCTTTTCTAGTGTGGAATATTTAGGGTTTTCCACATATAACACTACATTTGCAAACAGAGATAATTTTTCTTCTTCCTTTCCAATTTGGCTACCTTTTATTTCTTTTTCATTCCTAATTACTCTGGCTAGGAGTTCCAGTACCATGTTGAATAGAAGTGGCAAGAGTAGGGAATTTTTCCTTGTTCCTGATCTTAGAGGGAAAGCTTTCAGTTTTCCACCATTGAATGTGGTATTAGTCATTGTCTCTTCATAAATGGCATTTATTGGGTTAAGGCAGTTTAGTTCTATTCCTAGTTTGTTGAGTGTTTTTATCATGAAAGGATGATAAATTTTGCCAAATGCTTTTTCTGCATCAATTGAGATGATCATGTGGTTTTAATCTTTCATTCTTTTAACGTAGTGTATTATATTGATTTTTGTATATGTTGAAACATCCTTGCATTCCAGGGATACCACTTGGTCCCAGTATAGAATCATTTTAATATGCTGTTGAATTCAGTTTCCTTGTACTTACTTGAAAATTTTTTTATCAGTATTTATTAGGGATCTTGATCTGTTTTCTTTCCCTACAGTATCTTTGTCTGGCTTTGGTATTAATGCTGGCCTCATAAAACGAGTTTGGAAATGTTTTCTCCTTTTCAATTCTTTGGAGTTTGTTAATTATTCTTTCAATGTTTGGTAGAATTTTCCAGTGAAGCCATCTGTTCTTGGTTTTTTCTTTGTTGAAAGGTTTTTGAGTATTAATTCAATCTCCATACTAGCTATAGGTCTGTTTAATTTTTTTTTCTTGTGATTCAGATTCAATAGTGTTAGACACAAAAAAGAAGTTCCTCTTCAAAGGGTTTAGTTTATTTGGTTCTCTTGCTCTTTGTTCCCCACTTCCAAGACCAGACTTCCTTATCCTTTCTGCCTCCCTACCCTAGTTTCAGTACTGCTGGTCCGAATCTACAGAGCCCACATCTACTACTCACTCTGTAAATTGCCCCTCCTGCCACAACTGCTCTTCCCGCCAAAACTGCCCTTCCTTCCTCATCCTGCACACTCCTGTGCTCTTCAAGTTAGCCACTCAGGTTCAGCTTAAATTGTGTGGTCCAACTCCAGCCAATGGAGACAGAACACAGTAGCAAGGACAAATTGCATTAGAAATAAAAACCTCTTCCCTTCTTTGTTCAGTGTGCTCTCATGGCGATCAGCCTCGCAAGCAGTACCCTTCTGCAGAAGCAAATTTGCCTTACTAAAAAATCCTTTACTGGAGTGCTCATTTTCTTTGCGATTCTGAGCTTTTACTCCCAACAATTTGGGAGATTGCCCAGGATTCCCATTCTCCTTTGGGAGGGGCCAGCAATCACCTCTTAGGAGAAGACGCGTCCTGCTGCCTCCTTGCGGTGGTCTCAACAACAGGAGATCAGGTTCCACCTGGAGTGATGAATAAACCCAGACTCTCAGCAACATGGGTGGAAAGGATCCTTACATACTGCGGCAAACAGGCAACTCTGTGCACAGACGAGGTAGAAAACGTCGCAGGGGCAACAAAATATTTTCTTGGTGGTCAGGGTATCTTGGAGGTTGACAGTGTGTGAGTGAGACACACAATCTGAGGGCAAGAAATCTCTAATACAAGGAATTCAGCCTCATACCAAACCTCCAAGATAGGAAAAGCAAAGTCTCCAGTAAGGGGAGTTGAGCGTTTAGGAAAGGGGAAGTCAAGAAATCTCTAATACGGGGGGTTGACCCTGACCAGCACTCAGGATGGGAAATGCACAAGTAAGGCAAGGAATGGGAAGGATAAAACTAATAGCAATGATATTCCCCCAATAGTCCCCTAGGTCTCATATTAAAGTATTAGAAGAGTTATGAGAGAACTAAATACACACACACACACACACACACACACACACACACACACACAAGTAAAATATTATTTCATTTGGACTCAAAAAATAATCCTCAAACCCTCAGTTTTCTGGCCAAAGTCTGGGGTCAAATGAGGGTTGGATTTGTCAGCTTTTAATAAAATATGTTAATGACAAGAGTCCTGTCTCCTAGGAGAAAATAGATTATGCCCTGTGTCAGTGGCAAGGGTCGGTCCTCCTTTACCCCCTAACGACTGCAGGAAGTAAGCCAAAAGCCAACTCCTGTAAGATGAATAAAGTCCCTACCCCCAAACAGTCCACCAATACATGGGACCCCCTAGACCACCTTCCCACGCCTAAGATCCCTGACCCTAACTTCCTTCCCCCTCAAGCTGAGACAGTCTGCCTGTGCTACAGAGCCTGTCAGAGCTTCACAAAGAGTGTGAAGGGAACCACCCCTCTGCTAGGAAACTCCCACCCCAGAGGAGGGCATCCACAGTTTCTAGTGTTACTCAGGTAAAAGTTGATAAGAACGCTTACAAATGTGGCTCTGGCATGCAGAGAGCAGAAGACAGCAAGAGCATAAAGACACACCAGACACAGCCTAGAGAACAAGGGACAAAGTGGCATCTAGAGAACAAGGGACAAAGCCCGGTAAAGACTTTGGTGTAGAAAAAAACTTGTTAACTGGTGAAGAAACTGTTTATTTATAAAAGTGTACAGTTTTGTTTTCTTGTAATAACGACATCATAGGGTTATTTCGTACCAGTTGCAATGTTTTCATTTTTGTTTTCTTTTTTTACTATCAACCAAAGATATACAAATTACTGTTAAATTACAGTCTTTTTTTTTTATTTGAGACAGAGTCTCAATTTGTTGCCCAGGCTGGAGTGCGATCTCGGCTCACTGCAACCTCCACCTCCCAAGTTCAAGCAATTCTCTTGCCTCAGCCTCCCAAGTAGCTGGGATTACAGGTGCATGTCACCACACCCAGCTGACTTTTTGTATTTTCAGTAGAGACAGGGTTTCACCATCTTGGCCAGGCTGGTCTTCAACTCCTAACCTCGTGATCCACCTGCCTCGGCCTCCCAAAGTGCTGGGATTACAGGTGTGAGCCACCGCACCCAGCCTCCCACAGTCCTTTTTTAAAAGATATTTTCTTAAATTATTTAAAACGTACAAGCCTAGTATTTTTAATCAAACAAGATATTTATAAAATGGGTTTTCTCTTAATTCTAAATTAATCATGACTTTCTAATACCAACTGTAGTATTTACAGTATTCACCAAAACTTGGAATTTTACAAATACTAGAATTCTACCAGTGTTTCTTTAATAAACCTTAAATAAAAAATTAAAATTTTTAAAATGGCACGCAAAAATCTACATAAAATGTATATTTGGAGTATTTCAAAATTTACACTAAACCATAACTTCCTTAGAAAACAAACTATAAGCCTAAGTATGGTTTAACGTTAAGAACTAAAATGCTTTATATTAGTTTTTCACTGTACGTTATAAGCTTAAAAAAAAAGAGAGAAAAAAAGCAGCTTCGTCTTCAAGTAAAATGCTTGTGCCAGACATTTCACAAGTGTGAAAGAAAATAAGAAAAACTCAACTTAAGGGCATATAATAAGTTGTACAAAGCTCAAAAGAAGGTGGGCTTATTTGCCTTGGTTTGCGAATACCTGGAAATAATGAGTTTAACAAAAAACAATAAAATGTGTTAAAAATTTGACCATATTACAGCAATTTAGTAAATTTATTCGTAAGATAAAAAAAGACTGCTAAATCTTTTATTACAAAATCTTTCTTTAAAAAGCTGAGGGAATAACTTCACAGATCAAATAGCCAAACAAAAGTGCCATTTCCTCTGAAACACCTGTTTTTCACCTAACGCCTCATCTTCCTCCCCTTACTACAACCCTCATTTGCTCTTCTGCGGAAAAGAAAAAATTCATAGGAGTAAAAAATAAAAATAAAAATAAAAAACAAAAGAAAAAGGGATGTTACCAAAGAAAAATGTTTATCTAAACTCCTCATGAGGGAGGTCTTGTCTCAACTACATCAGGAAACCCACTAGGGACCCCAAGCTATGTGTAATACAGTTCTCAAAGTCTACAGGTGTATAAAACTTTATACCCTAGCCAATCAAGTTACAGATAGTTACTTAATATGTCAAAAAACTAGTAAACAAACTCTAAAAGAAAAAAAATCACCCTTGACAGGAAGGGATCCATGACTAAAACCATTCCCAAGTATCAAATTAACTATACTAAAGTGCCCCAATTAGTCTCCTGAGATACTTGTAAATAATAGTAGACCACTTTCCCCACTGGGTAGAGGCTATCCCCTTCTCAAATTCAACTGCCAGTAATGTAGTTAAAAGATTAATTAAAAACATCATACAGGCTATGACTCTGCTTCACACATTATGAATACTACATAAACGTAAGCAAGATTCAAGAAAGGACAGAATGAACCTTTAGAGTACCTGGAATTCGCGTAGATACTAAAAAAAAAATTCTGTTGAACTGAATTGAAAAACTAAATGCACAATAACAGACCACTTTTTATAAAGCACGCAACATGCTACTATATACACAAACACATAAGGAAATTAGCACTTACCAAAAGACTGTAAAACTGCTTAATCAGAACAGATACTACTCTCAGCAAACGCATGCAGATAGGAAAATACGGTTTTTCAACTGGTGCTGGAGAAGATGAGGTGCTGGAACCTTGTCTGAACTTTATATTTGGAGAAAAGAGCTTTATCACAAGGGGACATACCCTTTCTTTGAGGAGAAAACTAAATTCTTGATGCTATTTGCAAGGAAAAAAGAAAGAAAAAAAATTAACTTTATACTTAATACTTCTAAAACACAATCTCACTAGGAAATAAAACTTCCTAATTACCAGTATTAATAATTTAGCTTTACAGAAGTTCATATATTTTATTATTTTATAGTTTACATACAACTTTGAAATTCCCATTGCACTGAGAGAGTCTAAGATCAGAATAGTCATCAGAACCCAGTATGGTGGCTCATGCCTGTAATCTTAGCATTTTGGGAGCCCAAGGTGGGAGGACAGCTTGAGCCTGGGAGTTCAAGATGAGCCTCAGCAACATAGTGAGACCCCGTGTCTATAAAACTACAAAAAAAAATTTAAAAATTAGCTGGGTCTGGTGGCACACACCAGTAGTCCCAGATCTTTGTGAGGTTGAGGTGGAAGGATTACTTGAACCCAGGAGGTCAAGGCTGCAGTAAGCCGTGATCATGCCACTGCCTTCCAGTCTGGGTAACAGAGCAAGATGCTATCTCAAAATTATAATAATAATCATCATCATCATCATCAGTATTTCAAGAAGTTTTTAAAAGAATATAACTTCAAAAGGAACATTTAATGATAAAAGAATTAAGTAATCGGTGATTGCTGGAAACTTAATTTAGTTGGACACTGGTAATTAAAAAGATAAACAACAGAGGAAAGAAAACAGAGTCAGGCATGGTGGCCCAGGCCTGGAATATTGGTACTTTCGAAGGCTGAGGTGGGAGGATTGCTGGCACTGAGGAGTTCAAGACCAGCCTGAGTAACACAGGGAGACCCTGTCTCAACAACAAAAATTAGCTGGACATGGTGGCACTGCCTGTAGTTCCAGCTACTTGGGTGGCTGCGGTGGGAGGATCACTTGAGCCCAGGGAGGCTGAGGCTGCAGTGACAGCCGTGATCACACCACTGTACTCCAACCTGGGCAATGAAGTGAGAACCTATCCCACAAAAAAAAGAAGAAAAGAAAAAGAAAACAAGCTATACAAATTCAAGCAAATAAAAAATTTAAAATAAGTAAGCTGAGGAAAGAAAATTTACTAATAAAGTGTAAGTTATAGAATTCATTGATTTCATTTTGCAAAGAACAGTTTTATTCATGCAGATATTTAATAATTAACTTAAAATTTTGTTCTGCTTGGACTACTTGAACAGAATATGAGCTGATAAAACATGTAATGACAAACAAGCATAACTATTTTACAAGTCAGGGAAGGGACTCTTGCAAATAATTCTTAAATTTTACTTATAGTTATGATATATTACAAAGAAAGCACTCCTTAACCTGTTAATTCCCTACCTGTATTAACCAAGAGTAATCCCACTTCACTGACAATGTAAGGCCTACTCTGTATTTAATGACAAGCCTCAATATATTTTATTTTGTTGTGGTCATCCAAATTTCAGCAATTTTTAAAAGTTTTACCTGGCCGGGAGCAGTGGCTCATGCCTGTAGTCCCAGCACTTTGGGAGGCAGAGGTGGGTGGATCACGAAATCTGGAGTTTAAGACCAGCCTGGCCAAAATGGTAAAACCCCATCTCTACTAAAAATACAAAAAAATTTAGCCAGATGTGGTGGCAGGCGCCTGTAATCCCAGCTACTCAGGAGGTTGAGGCAGGAGAATTGCTTGACCCTGGGAGGCTGAGGTTGCAGTGAGCTGAGATCATACCACGGCACTCTAGCCTGGGTGAAAGAGCAACACTCCGTCTCAAATTAAAAAAAAAAAAAATTTTATCAATTCACTGTTTCCTTCTCACTACCCAACTCACTACAGTTGGGTTTCCTCAATCACTACCACCACCCACCCAACTTTACTTCTCCACTTCTCATTATCCTCATCATGATCTCTGAGGCTAAAGCAAACACTTTCCAGTCTTTCCAGTCTGCATCTTACTAGATCTCTTTGTTTTCGTTCTGTTTGGTTCTATTTTTGAAACAGGGTCTTGCTCTGTCACCCAAGCTGGAATGCAGTGGTATGATTGTGGCTCACGGTAGCCTCGACTTCCTGAGATCAAGCAATCCTTCAACCTCTCAGCCTCCCAAGTAGCTGAGACTACAGGCATGTGCCACCAGGCCCAGCTGATTTTTTTTTTTTTTTAAATGTTTTTTTTTTTGTTGTTTTTTTTTTTTTGTTTTTTTTTTTTTTTTTGAGACGGAGTTTCGCTCTTGTTGCCCAGGCTGGAGTGCAATGGCGCGATCTCCGCTCACCGCAACCTCCGCCTCCTGGGTTCAGGCAATTCTCCTGCCTCAGCCTCCTGAGTAGCTGGGATTACAGGCACGCGCCACCATGCCCAGCTAATTTTTTGTATTTTTAGTAGAGACGGGGTTTCACCATGTTGACCAGGATGGTCTCGATCTCTCGACCTCGTGATCCACCCGCCTCGGCCTCCCAAAGTGCTGGGATTACAGGCTTGAGCCACCGCGCCCGGCCTTTTTTAATGTTTAATAGAGATGAGATCTCACTATGCTGCCCAGGCTGGTCTTGAACTCCTGAACTCAAGCTCTGCCCACCTCAGCCTCCCAGAGTGCTAAGACTACAGGCATGAGCCACTGCATCTGGCCTACCAGATCTCTGTGAACCACCTGATATAACTGATTGCTTGCTTCACCTTAAAACTTTGTTTTATCTTTTATTATGTCAGACTCTCTCAGATTTGTTCCTGCTTTCTGGCCTTGTGTTCTCAGTTTCTTGTGCTCAACCTCAACCATTTAATGCTGAGGTTCCTCAGAGGTCCAGAGTACCATGCCCTTGCTTTGTACTCTAGGTTCTCACCAAAGACAATCTCATTCACTCCCATATCTTCAATTAGCCAGGAACATTTAAATGTATAATTTCAGCCCCAAACCTTGAGATGCATAAGTCCAACTAACATTTTGCATGTCTCACAGATGCCTCAAAATTAGTACATATGAAACTGAATAATGTATCCTCTGTAACAAAAATTCTGCCCATGCAGTACTCCATCTTAGCAAAAAGTTCACTGTTCAAGCCAGAAAGCCAGAAGTCATCTTTGAGACTGCCTTTTTCATCTTCCACTACAACACTTCATCAAGGCAAAGGCAAGGTTTCATTCCCCTTAAAACTTATTTTTCTAGAAAAGAAGACATCCTTTCTCAGGGTCGCTGCTCTTCAAATTCCTTCTGTGTGGAGTATTGTTTTCCTATTCTCACCATATCTCCTAACTACCTGTCATCTTCCATTTACAAGCTTAAGTTTCATATCCTTGATTTATCACCAACTCTTCACCAGGTTTGGTCCCCTGTTATTTATTTCCATAACACTTTTAATACATTTCCTTCACAGCACTCATCACATCTTATCAATTCAGTTAAAATCTGTCTCCCCATTAGAATTGTAAGTGCCACAGGGCAAGGATTTTATCAGTCTTATTTAACTTCTGTATACTTGGCATAAAACATCAGCGACTGGTAAATTTTGATTGCATATGTGAATGATGAGTTAAAAAAACAAACAAATTTATTTATCTCTGGAAGAAAATTATGCAGGATAAAATTCTAGGATTTCACAAAGAAGAACGCTTCCCCCTCCATGCTTTATAGCAGGAAGAATAAAGTAAAGTAGGAATATTTAAGTACAATAAATCTGTAAAAACAATTTCAAATCTTTTCCTATAAAGTCAGAAAATACAACCCAAACATAAAAATTTTAAATTAAATTAATTAACCAATTCATTCATTAAAATACTTATCAAACATTTGCCATATGCCAGGCACTATTACTAAGGCACCTATACAACAGTATACTAAGTCCTTGCCTCACAGAGTTTATCTTCTTGTAGGGAAAGAGAGAAAGTAAAATAACACATAACATGTAATAATATATATTACATATATATATGTGTGTGTGTGTGTGTGTGTGTGTGTGTGTGTGCGAGAGAGAGAGAGAGAAAGGCGGGAAGTGATAAATGCTACAAAGAAATATAAAGTGGGATAAGAAAGATAATGGATAACGGTGCTGGTAGGAAAAAAGGTTGCCATTTTACACAATGTGGTTGGGGAAGATAGGTCTGATAAGTTGACCACTGAGCAAAATCCTCAAAAAATAAGACAGTAAGCCATACGAGGAAAAAGCATTCCAGGCCCAGTGAACGTTAAGTACCAAGGCCCTGGGGCAGGAGTCTGCTTGAGGCACTTAAGAAACAACAAGAAGGACGGTGTGGCCAAAGGGTGAGGGCAAAGAGAAGAGAGGAAAGAAACAAGATCAAGGAATATTGGGGACTAAATCATGATAAGTCCCAGGGGGCATAAAGACACTTCATCTTTTAGTCTGATAAGGAGAACATCAACTGAAGCCATTTTCAAGAGACTGAAAAGATCTGACTTATTTTTAAAGACCATTCTGGATGTGGTGTCACAAACAACTATAATAAGCAGTACCATTATTAATATACATGCAAGCAGACCAGTTAGGAAACCAATACAATAATTCAAGTAAGAGGTGATGGTAGCTTAGACTAAAATAACTGTAGAAGTGGTAAGAAGTGATTAGATTCTGAATATATTTTGAAAGTGATGATTGGGATGCGATGTGTGAATAAAAATGAAGAGATAAGGAGAGAAACTAATTAGGATCAACATGAGTTCAAATCCCAACTCCATCATTTATAAATCATGAAACTGTGGACAAAGTATTTAACCCTCTGGATGTTGTAGTTTCCTCATGTGTAAACAGTGATAACTGGTATATCTCAGGCATTTGGAAAGATGAAAGAGAATATAATATGTGCCAGGAATCTGGCACATAGCACATAGAAAGCAGTCAAGAAATAAGACCTATTATGACTATTATTTATACAAGAGTGTTGGACAAGTTATATCGAAATACTGCTTATCCTAGTAAACTATAAGAAAGGTAATCATCAGTATACACTGTTCATCAAAAGCATTTAACAACTGCCTAATATATACCAAAAATTATGAGCCATATAAAAATAATTTCATCTCCAAATCCTGGCCTAAAAGATCTTATACTACTGTAGCACTTGATTCACTTATTTTGCAGGTAAGGATAAAGGCTAAAATGGATTACTTAGGAAGGCAGCACGGTAGGGGAAGGAGCTAGATAAGTAGTTAAAAAACCTAAATTACAGTTCAAGAACTGCTAATAACTAAGGGACCCTGTGGAAGTCACCGACTTGATTTTGGACTTTAGTTGTTTTCCATTTAAGTTATCTGAAAACACATAACTATATATATTATAAGCAAGTAAAAATCAGTAATTTCTTTAAGCTTTTAAGTAAATAGCTCACATGCCATTATTTCCTTCAGAGACCCATACACTGGGAAATACCTATTAATAGACTGTCTCTAGAGATCTATTGTTAAAACTCTAAAATGCTAAGGCACTTTTAAAAAAAGTGAGGTAACACTAAACTGTTACATGTCTAAAGTTTGAGGCTACAATTCTCCAAAACTTTCCTTCTTTTTTTTTTTTTTAAGAAATGGGGTCTCGCTCTCTCACCCAGGCTGGAGGGTAATGGCATCAACACAGCTCACTGCATCCTTGACCTGCTGGGCTTAAGCGATTCTCCTGCCTCAGTCTCCTGAGCAGCAGGGACTACAGAAACCCATACAGAAACCCAGCACCACACCCAGCTTTTTTTTTTTTTTTTGAGACCGTTTCGTTGCCCAGGCTGGAGTGCAATTGCATGATCTTAGCTCACCGCAACCTCTGCCTCCTGGGTTCAAGCGATTCTCCTGCTTCAGCCTCCTGAGTAGCTGGGATTACAGGCATGAACCACCATGCCCGGCTAATTTTGTATTTTTAGCAGAGACGGGGTTTCTCCATGTTGGTCAGGCTGGTCTCAAACTCCCGACCTCAAGTGATCCACCCACCTTAGCCTCCCAAAGTGCTGGGATTTCAGGCGTGAGCCCCCACATCCAGACTTTGTCTCTTTGTTTTGGTTTTTGAGACGGAGTCTCGCTCTGTCGCCCAGGCTGGAGTGCAGTGGGATAATCTTGGCTCACTGTAACCTCTGCCTCATGGGTTCAAGTGATTCTCCTCCCTCAGCTTCCTGAGTAGCTAGGACTAGAGGCATGTACCACCATGCCCAGCTAATTTTTTTGTATTTTCAGGAGAGACAGGGTTTCGCCCTGTTAGCCAGGACGGTCTCGATATCCTGACCTTGCAATCTGCCTGCCTTGGCCTCCCAAAGTGCCGGGATTACAGGTGTGTTTTTTTGTTTTTCTTGAGACAGAGTCTCGCTCTGTCGCCCAGGGTAGAGTGCAGTGTCGCCATCTCAGCTCACTGCAACCTCCACCTCCCAGCTTCAAGCAATTCTCCTGCCTCAGCCTCCCGAGTAGATGGACTACAGGCACTCATCACCATACCAGGCTAATTTTTGTATTTTTGGTAGAGATGGGGTTTCACCATATTGGCTAGGTGGGCCTCAAACTCTGGATCTTGTGATCCACCTGCCTCAGCCTGCCAAAGTGCTGGGATTACGGGCGAGAGCCACTGTGCCCAGTCTTTTTATTTTATTTTCTATACTGATAGTGTCTCACTGCATTGCCTAGGCTGGTCTTGAACTCCTGGGCTCAAGCAATCCTCCTATCTCAGCCTCTCAAAGTGTTGGGATTACAGGCGTGAGATACTGAGTCTAGTTTCTTTGCAACTTTTAATATGGAAAAAAAGTACACATTGCTTTCATTAAAAATATCTGTAAAACAATTAAGATTAACTTTGTCACAAGATACTATAAATGGCTTACTTGTAAAAAGACCTGTGGAAAATCATTCAGGACTGACTCAAGTAATTCAAGGCCAAACGTCCGAGTCATTTCTGTCATGCCCACTAGCCAATAAGGAGCATCAGCATTAACCAACTGACAAAGATCCTGGGAAAATAAATCCAACAATTTAATGTGCTAGAATTAAGTGTGCTTTTCAAAACTCACAGTTCATAAATCTTTAAAAAGAAAAAACCTCTCTTCTTATATAACACGTTTTCCTCTTAGAAACTAAGCACTGGTAATTCCAATTTTGCCAAATTATATAACTGATAGATTATATAAGTAAATTTATAAAGAATCATATAACTACTGACAATACACGGAGACAGTAAATGAAAAAAAATAAGCTTTTAATCCAAAGCAATAATATTTTCAGTACAAATTAATCTTGTTTTACCTAAAATTATTCATGACAAGCAATATCAATGAAAAAATCAGTTTTCTATGTATCAAATTATATTACACAGACCAAATTTATTACCTAAATTTTCCTTGTTTAAAGAAACCTTTTTTGTGTGTGATTAGTTCTTTCTGATATATCTGTTTTCCAGTTCTGGGTTTAATTCATTTTATTTTCTTAAGATGCGTCATAATGTTTTATCATGTTAATCAGCTATAAATATACAAGTTGTGCTTTAGAACTATTTTAATACAACCTTTGACATAGTTTCAAAAAAACTGACATTAAAAAAATTCAACACAAAATCCCAAAATCAAAAATTCACACAAAACTATATTTTAGAATAAAAATTACTTTTATCAACTAAAATACCTGGAAAAGCATATATGCATCTTTAGCACAAGGTTTGAGGGTACTGACAGATCTTCTGTTACTATTTCCTTGTACCAGTACTGGTTGTTCTACAATATCTGCAATCAAAACAGGATGGGTTTTAGGAGCTCATAATGGCCTTTATTAAATTATATATTCTGTTTAAAAGATACATTTAAAATAAATATTTGTTAATATAAATTGTAATTATAATTTCAGAATTATAATTTCTAATTTTAATTATAACATATGCCTCCAAAACAAAAAAAATGGGGATCATTTTTACACCAAATACCACAAAAATCACTCTTTGCTACCTTACATTCACTCTAATAAGCTGGGTATCTGTGTCCATACATTTGGTTTCCCAGCCTCCCTTTTTTCAGCCCCTATTATTTCATGGATTTAAAATTCAAGCGATCTTTAAATGTGCTTTTAAATCTCAAACAAACATATAAACTTCTACCTATGGTTAACTCCTCTACCATTTCACTACCTTCAAGAGAATTACTGCTTGATCTGCTACTATTGCCATATCAGTTACAGATATTCAACAGCTAAGAATCAGCTAGGCTGGTGTCTCCCAGCTCAGCATTTCTTTAACTGATAGTAAAAATACCATTCTCTGCAAGTTATGACAGTCCGTTTTGAATAAATATTGACTTAATGACTAATTGAAAAGAAAGAAATTCTAAGTATTTCTACCTTGCCATAAAGTATTAAATGGCATATTAGCCTTAGAGATATACAACTAAAGCTACCAATCCAGGAATTTTATTGAGGTTATGAATGTATATTACATTCAAACTGGGGAACTGCCCTGTGTTATTACAATATGACTTTTAATATTTTAACCAAATGGGACACATTATAAGATTAATTCATTAACATTTCAAACTATTATAATTCTACCTGCATTTTTCCCCAAGAAAAAAATAAAGAAAAAACAATATAACAAAATGGAAAAATTCTAATAAAGGTATTTGATACAAATATTTAAAAATTAATTTTTATATTATTTAAATGTTCTTAACATGTGTTAGCACACACAGACAAAAATGTATGAGGGAAGCCCACTCTTGGAAATTTATCCTAAAGGAATAATTCAAAAAGATATGTAGGAAACCACCCAAAACAGTTATAAAATACTAAACAGAATACAAGTGTCCACTAGGAGACTTGTTCAGTTAAATCACAGAATTAGAGAATTTTAAAGCAATCATTAAAATTTAAATTATGAGGATGAGTAATAACATGAAGAACTCATAGAATGTAATATTTGGTTAAAAAATACACATAATGCAATACTTGGTTTAAAATGTGAAATTACCATATTTAACACAAAATTATGCACAGACTAGAAATAAACATGGAAAACAAAGAGCCTATTCTGTAGAGTGATCAAATTGTAAAGAATTTATATTTTAAGTTGCCATTATTGACATAGTAATGTTGACCATTTCAGCAAAGGCTGAAAGCTAATAAAAATGAAATAATGCAAGAACTACACACAAAGTAAAACAACTTTTAGAACTTTACCTCTGTGTCGTTCATCTTCAGCAACCATCCTCTCAAAAACAACAGTAACAACTTGTCGCACTGTAGCAGCAGCTGTATTATTTGTAATATTATCTTTTGTGAAATGTAGTCGAAAACAAAGAACAATTGCCTGAAAACACAATTTTCATTTGGTGTGAAATAAGACTGAAGAGCAAGCCCATTATCTTTATTTTATCAGATGTAACCACAAATTTAATAATTTATGTTTTTGGTTGTTTCAATCACCAATATGAAGAGTCCCACCATTTTGTACAATAAATTATAAAACCCTCAGATTTTGAAGTCATTCAAGCTCTCTGTAAATATATAGCCACAGAAAATTAGCTATAGTAATGTGAAACATACCTTTTAAAATTTGGTTAACACCTAGATAATAACATATTATGCTTGTATTTCCCCAGAATGACTTGCTTTGCAAATAACAAGAACTCAAAGTTTCTTGTATCACTTAATCATCTGGAGAAGCTATGTGACTGCTAAGCATGTAAATAAAATTATGAAACTTTTAAAAAGGAGTCTTTTTTTCTTTTAAAATTCAAGTTTATTAAGGTGAAATTTATATACAATAAATTATAGAATCCCTTAAAATTATATAATTTGATGAGTTCTGACAAACATGTGGGCCCAAGAAACTGGCCACAATTGAGAAACAGAGTATCTCCCATTACCCCCAAAGTTTTCTTGTGCTCCTTGCCATCCATCTCTTCCTCTACCCTTGGCCCCAGGCAAGCACTCCTATGCTCTTTTCACTGCAGATGAGGGGGCATTTTCTATGATTTTTATATAAACAGATTAATTCAGTATGTGCTCCTTTGGGCCCGGCTTCTTCCACTTAGAATAATATTTGTGAAATTCGTCCACGTTGTTCTGCGTATCAGTAGTTTGTACCTTTTATTACCAAGTATCATTCCATGGTACGAGTACACTATATTTTGCTTATCCATTCACCTGCTGGTGAATGTGTGGGCAATTTTCCAGGTTCTGACTATTGTTTTTTTTTTTTTTTATTGCATTTTAGGTTTTGGGGTACATGTGAAGAACATGCAAGATTGTTGCATAGGTACACACATGGCAGTGTGGTTTGCTGCCTTCCGTCCCCTTGCCTGTATCTGTCATTTCTCCCCATGCTATCTCTTCCCACCTCCCCACCCCCGTCCCTCCCCCATTTCCCCCCAATGGACCCCAGTGTGTAGTGCTCCCCTCCGTGTCCATGTGTTCTCATTGTTCAACACCCGCCTATGAATGAGAATATGCGGTGTTTGATTTTCTGCTCTTGTGTCAGTTTGCTGAGAATGATGGTTTCCAGGTTCATCCATGTCCCTACAAAGGACGTGAACTCATCGTTTTTGATGGTTGCATAATATTCTATGGTGTATATGTACCACATTTTCCCTATCCAGTCTATCATCGTTGGGCATTTGGGTTGGTTCCATGTCTTTGCTATTGTAAACAGTGCTGCTATGAACATTCGTGTGCATGTGTCCTTATAGTAGAATGATTTATAATCCTTTGGATATATACCCAGTAATGGGATTGCTGGGTCAAATGGGATCTCTGTAGGCAAGGACTTCATGACCAAAACGCCAAAAGCAATGGCAACAAAAGCCAAAATAGACAAATGGGACCTAATCAAACTCCACAGCTTCTGCACGGCAAAAGAAACAGTCAGTAGAGTGAATCGGCAACCAGCAGAATGGGAAAAAATTTTTGCAGTCTACCCATCTGACAAGGGGCTGATATCCAGAATCTACAATGAACTAAAACAGATCGACAAGAAAAAAACAAACAAGCCCATTCAAAAATGGGCGAAGGATATGAACAGATACTTTACAAAAGAAGACATACAGGAGGCCAACAAACATATGAAAAAATGCTCATCATCACTGGTCATTAGAGAAATGCAAATCAAGATCCGACTTTCAAGATGGCCGCCTAAGAACAGCTCAGGACTTCAGCTCCCAGTGAAAGTGCAGAGGGTGAGTGGACGCCGCATTTCCAGACGAACTCTTATTGCCCACAGACCAGGAGATACCCAGGCAGAGGGGTCGCCAGCGTCGCAGTCCCAGCCGGTGCGGCTGTTTTGGCCCCCGCGGGGCTGATTCCGCCCGGGCGGCTGCTGTGACCACTCCCTGTTGCTGCGGTTCTCCGTACAAAAGCCACTGGTCTGGGAGCCCTCTTAGCTGGCGAGCAGAGCCCTGAGACGGCAGAATAGCCCATTCATCTGAAATAGCGAGCCAGGCCAGGAGATTCCTAGGCAAAAAATCCGCCAGGAGCCGGCGCCGCGGTTCGAGCCGACTCCCTGAGTCGCAGCACGGGAGATCCCGGCGCCTTTTCAACAAGCGACCGGAACGCGGGGTCGTTCAACTTAAAAGAAAAGACTCTGAGTCAGGGAGCCAGGTGATCAGGCTCGGTTGGTCCCACCCCTCCACCCCCAACAACAACGAAAACAAAAACAGTAATTGGAAACCCTCTGGGTTGAGCCCTTCAAACCAAGCACAGCTGAACCAGGACGGCCCGGCTCCGTGGGGGAGGGGCTTCCGCCATTACTGAGACTCTCCACCGCTACAGAGGCAGGCTGCCGTTGCCGAGGCAACCCGCCGTTGCCGAGGCAACCTGCCACAACAGAGAGAGTCCGCCATAACAGAGGCGGGGCCACCATTGCCCAGACAGTTCTAACTACGCCCATATAAAAAGGACTACAGGGAAGAGCTCAGGGCAGCTGGGCGGAGCCCACAGCAGCTCAGCAAAGCCCCTGCGGGCAGGCAGAGGCTAGGCGTGCTGCTAGCTGGGCGGGTCCGACCTGAAAAAAAAAAAATAAAAAAAGGCAGTAGTGCAACGGAAACTCATAAAGCTCCAACTCCCTGGGACAGAGACAGACAACAGGTGGATAAACCCACAAAAATGGGTAGAAACAAGCTTAAAAAGGAGGAAAACTCCCGAAACCAGAACACCTCTCCTCCTAAAAGTGATCACAACTCCTCACCAGCAAGGGAACCAGACCGGATGGAGAAGGAGGGTGATGAAATGACAGAATCAGACTTCAGAAGATGGGTAGTAAGAAACTACAATGAGCTAAAAGAACATGTTCTAACCCATCGCAAAGAAAATAGGAACCTTGAAAAAAGATTGGACGAACTGCTGACGAGAATGGACAGCATAGAGAGGAGAATAAGTGAATTGATGGAGCTGAAAAACGCAACACGAGAACTTCGTGAAGCATGCACAAGCTTCAACAGCCGAATTGACCAAGCAGAAGAAAGGATATCAGAGGTCGAAGACCAACTCAATGAAATAAAAGAGAAGGCAAGAACAGAGAAAAAAGCGCAAAAAGGAATGAACAAAATCTTCAAGAAATGTGGGACTATGTGAAAAGACCTAATCTACGTCTGATAGGTGTACCTGAATGTGATGAAGAGAATGAATCCAAGCTGGAAAATACTCTTCAGGATATTATCCAGGAAAACTTCCCCAACCTAGCAAGGCAGACCAATATTCAAATCCAGGAAATACAGAGAACACCACAGAGATATTCCTCAAGAAGAGCAACCCCAAGGCACATAATCGTCAGATTCACCAGGGTTGAAATGAAAGAGAAAATGCTAAGGGCAGCCAGAGAGAAAGGTCGGGTTACCCACAAAGGGAAGCCCATTAGACTCACAGCAGATCTCTCAGCAGAAACCCTACAAGCCAGAAGAGACTGGGGGCCAATATTCAACATCCTTAAAGAAAAGAACTTTCAACCCAGAATCTCCTATCCAGCCAAACTCAGCTTCATAAGTGAAGGAAAAATAAAATCCTTTGTGAACAAGCAAGCACTCAGAGATTTCATCACCACCAAACCTGCTCTACAAGAACTCCTGAAAGAGGCTCTACACATATAAAGGAACAACCAGTACCAGCCACTCCAAAAACACACCAAATGGTAAAAAAGCAGCAACGCAATCAAGAATCTGCATCAACTAACCAACAAAACAGCCAGGTAGCATCAAAATGACAGCATCAAATTCACACATAACAATACTATCCCTAAATGTCAATGGACTAAATGCCCCAATCAAAAGACACAGACTGGCAAATTGGATAAAAAGCCAAAACCCATCAGTGTGCTGTATCCAGGAAACCCATCTTACATGCAAGGATACACAAAGGCTCAAAATAAAGGGATGGAGGAAGATCTACCAAGCAAATGGAGAGCAAAAAAAGGCAGGAGTTGCAATTCTCATCTCTGATAAAATAGACTTTAAAGCAACAAAGATCAAAAGAGACAAAGAAGGACATTACATAATGGTAAAAGGATCACTGCAACAAGAAGAGCTAACGATCCTAAATATATATGCACCCAATACAGGAGCACCCAGATACATAAGGCAAGTTCTTAATGACTTACAAAGAGACTTAGACTCCCACACAATAATAGTGGGAGACTTTAACACCCCATTGTCAATATTAGACAGATCAACCAGACAGAAAATCAACAAGGATATCCAGGACCTGAACACAGACCTGGAATGAGCAAACCTAATAGACATTTACAGAACTCTCCACCCCAAATCCACAGAATATACATTCTTCTCAGCACCACATCACACCTACTCTAAAATTGACCACATAATTGGCAATAAATCACTCCTCAGCAAATGCAAAAGAACAGAAATCATAACAAACAGTCTCTCAGACCACAGTGCAATCGAGTTAGAACTCAGAATGCAGAAACTAACTCAGAACCGCACAGCTTCATGGAAACTGAACAACTTGCTCTTGAATGTTGACTGGATAAACAATGAAATGAAGGCAGAAATAAAGATGTTCTTCGAAACCAATGAGAACGAAGACACAACATACCAGAATCTCTGGGACACATTTAAAGCAGTCTCTAGAGGAAAATATATAGCAATGAGTGCCCACATGAGAAGAAAGGAGAGATCTAAAATTGACACCCTATCATCAAAATTGAAAGAGCTAGAGGAGCAAGATCAAAAAACTCAAAACCTAGCAGAAGACAGGAAATAACTAAGATCAGAGCAGAACTGAAGGAAATAGAGACACAAAAAACTCTTCAAAAAATCAATAAATCCAGGAGCTGGTTTTTTGAAAAGATCAACAAAATAG